GTTCGATGGTTCATTCGAAAATTGGCGTGAATTTTCGGATATATTTTTATCAATTGTTCACAACAATCAAGCTTTATCTAACGCTCAGAAATTAAGTTACTTACGCGCCAGCTTAAAAGGGGAAGCGGCCATTAAATTAAAATCTTTAGAAACAACCGATTCGAATTACCCAATTGCTTGGGACTCCCTTCAAAAACGATACAACAATAAAAAACGAATTGTTAACGCTCATGTGCAGAATTTACTGAATTTAGCAACGATTAATCATAATTCTACAGCTAATTTACGTCAGTTTATCGATACGATCGAAAATAATATTCAATGTCTAAAGGCGATGGGGTGTTCAGTAGAACATTGGGACGATTTATTAATTCCAATACTTGTTAACAAAATTGATAACAAATTTGTTATGGAGTGGGAGGAAAAGTTAAACGAAAGGCCTAACGCTAGAGATGAATTGCCTAAGTTAAGCGACTTAATTGAATTTTTAAATGTAAAAACTAATATTTATGAATCTATTGAATCGAAACAAACGAATCAAAAACCTCTTAAACTTAATCCTTTATCACCTCAAGGCTCGCCTTACAAACATCGTCCAGTTAAGCAAACTGTAATGTTAACAGTAAATAAAAATGAAGTAACTTGCCCATTTTGTGAAGAATCACATTTTTCAAATCAATGCCCAGAGCTACTTAAATTAAAAACATCTGATCGTATAAATATGGTTAAGGAGAAAAGGTTATGTTTAAATTGCCTTCGAAAGGGTCATTTTGTATCTGATTGTAGATCTTCACGGTGTAAAACATGTGGTAGGAAACACCACACGGTACTTCACGAACCAAGGCCTTCGTCTTCAAATTCTCAAATCAATAATCCCACTGAAATTAGTATTAGTGATAATAATCCGCCTAATATAGAAAATAGTTTAACTGCAAGAGTGGAAGGTTGTTCATTAACAATTCTACCAACAGCCACAGTAGATGTATTGAATGTGCACAACCAACCTATGAGGATGAGATTGCTTCTTGACTCTGCATCTCAATCGAATTTTATTACCAAAAACGCGTGTAGGTTATTGCAATTACCAAAATCAAACAGTCAACGTAAGTGGGATTAATCAAAGTTTGATTACGGTTAAGCATCAAGTGAATTTGAAGTTAAAATCTATTCACTCAGAGTACGTCACAAATATTAACTGTTTAGTTGTTCCTAGCATAGGACATATGTTTCCTTCAAATTTGCTAAAGGTTCGAGATTTCATAATTCCCTCAAACATAAAGTTGGCGGACTCAAATTTCTATGAATCCAAAGCGATCGATATACTAGTAGGGGTGAATTTGTTTTATGAACTCCTCTCAATAGGTCAAATAAAGCAGCGCAATCAACCGATTTTTCAAAAAACCAAATTAGGGTGGGTTGTCGCAGGAAACCTTCCGATTCCTTCCAATTCTTTACAATCACAATCATTTTTGACACTCGATGAAATCAACAATAATTTGAAACAATTCTGGAAAATCGACGAATTTGGTCCAATTATCAGTGAGTTAAGTCCTGAAGAACAATTTTGCGAAGATCATTTTCGAGAAACCACTACACGTCATGTGGATGGCAAGTTTATCGTAAAACTTCCTCTAAAAACAGACAATAGTAATTTGGGTACTTCGTTTGAAGTCGCTAAATCACGGTTTAATAAATTGGAAGTGAAATTTCACAAAAATCGAACTTTTCACGAACAATACGCGAGTGTAATTCAAGAATATCAAGCTAATGGTCACATGTCCCTCAGTAATAAACCACAGAAAAGTGAATTTTATTTACCTCACCATGCCGTAATCAAAGAGACTAGCACAACAACGCGTTTAAGAGTAGTGTTTGATGGTTCGTGTAAATTAGACTGTGGTGTTCCCATTAATGATCTGCAATGTGTTGGTCCCACCATACAAGAAGATTTAGTAGCAATATTAGCTCGTTTTCGAGCACTTCAGTATGTCCTCACCGCAGATATTGCTGCAATGTATCGCCAAGTGTGGATGCACCCAGATCATCGAAAATTTCAGAAAATCCTTTGGCGAAATAATGCAAGTCTACCACTGTCATCTTATGAATTAAATACTGTCACGTTTGGCACATCATCTGCCCCATTCCTAGCCGTAAGATGTTTATTTGAGCTAGCTAACTTAAACGAAGAAGCATATCCTATCGAATCACAAATTATCAAACAAGACTTTTATGTCGACGATCTGTTGACTGGGTCTGGATCAGTGGATTCTTTGGCGCAAGTAAAGAAAAATTTAATCAACATTTTAGACCAAGCAAAATTTCCGTTAAGAAAGTTCATTAGTAACGTCAATCACCTTTCCGATCACAATCAAGAAAAGGTAGTCATGAGAAATTTCAGTAAAGTGCTAGGAATTTGTTGGCAGTCTGACAACGATGTATTTTATTATTCAATTTCACAATTAAAGGATTGCACCAAAGTAACGAAACGTTCTATTTTATCGCTAACATCCCAATTATTTGATCCGCTTGGACTACTAGCTCCAGTTCTTCTAGAAGGAAAGTTAATCCTCCAAGAATTATGGTTAACTAAATGCGACTGGGATGAATCTATTCCAATGTATCTCCACACCAAATGGGTCACGCTTAGAAGTGAATTACATCATATTAATAAATAATAATATTTCTATTCCTCGATTTGTTCTAATTCCGGAAGCTACTTCATTTCAACTACACGGCTTCTCGGATGCCTCCGAAAAGGCATACGGAGCTTGTCTATACATCAGATCTATCAGCAAGTATAACGAAATATCAGTCAACTTATTGGTGTCCCGATCTCGGGTATGTCCCACAAAAAAGATCACACTACCCCGTTTGGAATTAATGGCGGCGGTTTTGCTGGCAGAGTTACTTCAAAGATTCAAAAGAATTATGAAAATTCAATTCAGTGGTCAATTTTATTGGACGGATTCAAAAATTGTTCTCAATTGGTTGAACTATGCCTTTCCGCATCGGCTGCAGACCTTTGTGGCGAACCGAGTAGCAAGAATTCAAGAAGTATCAAATGTTGGAGACACGTAAGTGCATCGGATAATCCCGCTGATGTGTTATCCAGAGGGTGCTCTCCAAACCAATTAAAAAATTCTTCTATGTGGTGGCATGGTCCTTTCTGGCTTTCGCATCATGAATCCAATTGGAATCTCCAAAACTTCGAAATCAAACAAGATTTATTGCCCGAATTAAAGAAAGAAAAATTATTTTCACTGGTAGCGCAGCAATCAAGCGACTTTATTAAAATCGAAAGTTTTTCAAGCCTGATTCGACTGAAGAGAGTGGTTACCTATTGCATCCGATTTATGAAAAATTGTCGAAAGGGAGAGCTCGAACGAATTACAGGAGATTTGACTGTTAGTGAAATTGATGAATCCTTCAAAAAACTAATTAAATTAGTCCAAATTGAAAACTTCCATTCAGAGTATTGTCAACTGTTGAACAAAGTACCTATTCCAAGTAATTCCAATATCCTTTCACTTTCACCTTTTTTGGATAAGTCTGGAGTAATGCGAGTGGGTGGAAGGTTACAATTATCCAATTATTCATTTGACAAGAAACACCCAATACTTTTACCAAAATCACATGCAATAACAAAATTAATTTTTCGTCACATTCATTTAGTATCGTTACATCCGGGGCCAAATTTGCTTTTAAGCCTAGTAAGAGAACATTACTGGCCGGTTACCGGAAAATCGACAGCAAAGGAAACTGTTAGAAATTGTGTTAAGTGTTTTCGATTCACAGCCTCTCCTTCAAATCCGCTAATGGGCAACTTACCTGACAGTCGAGTTAATGTATCTACTCCCTTTACTTCGGTGGGAATAGATTTTGCGGGTCCTATGTTGATACGTGATAAAAGTGGTAGAGGCTCAAAATTAACTAAATGTTATATATGTGTATTTGTTTGCTTAACAGTTAAGGCATTGCATCTCGAAGTAATTAGTTCTTTGTCAACAAATGCTTTCATTGGCACATTTCGAAGATTCATTTCTCGCCGTGGTTCACCTAGGCACATTTACAGTGATAATGCCACAACCTTTGTGGGGGCGAATGCAGAACTAAAAAGAGTGAACGAATTTTTAAAGAAAAATTATAATGATATTATGAACCATCTAACAAATCAGAATATAACATGGCATTTTATTCCTCCAAAAGGGGCAAACTACGGGGGTTTATGGGAAGCAAGTGTTAAAAGTGTCAAATATCACTTAAAAAGGGTTATGGGCAATGCGTGTTTAACATTCGAAGAACTATCCACCGTCTTAGCACAAATTGAATCAATATTAAATTCACGTCCATTAACACCTCTTTCGGCAGATCCGAATGACTTTCAGTCATTAACTCCGGCACATTTTTTAATTTATAAAACACTTCAGTCCCTGCCTGAAGAAGATCTAAAGCGGCCTACTCACGAGGCAATTTGCAGGGTACAATTTGCAGGGAACAATTTGTAACGAAATTGGGTGTAGACGCTACACATCCCAATTTATCAGTAGAGTTGTTGATTTCCGAGTGCGTGTAGTATCTCACCATGGCTCCCTCAAAGCGCCAAAAAATTGGTATAGCATTAGCATTAGTGACATTAGACTCTGATGAAAAGAAAAAGAGAAGAAAGTACTGGACAAAACAATGGTTGCTAAAAAGAAGTCAATTTTCTCATACAATTTTAATGAAGGAATTGGAAGCAGAGGACTTTAAAAACTTTTTACGGATGGATAGTAACTGTTTTGAAGAACTTCTTAATATGGTGGGGCCTTTAATTGCCAAACAAGACACTTTAATGAGATCCAGCGTTAGTGCCACACAACGATTAATTGTTACTTTGAGGTATCTGGCTACCGGAAGAAGTTACGAAGACCTAAAATTTAGCGCAGTTATATCCCCGCAACTCCTATCTAGTATAATTCCAGAAACATGTTGGGCTATCTACAATTGTTTGAAACACTATATAAAGGTAAGTTAAAAAAATATATACACTTTTGATAATTAAATTTTTATTGAAATCATTTAAACACAAGATACTGAGATATTATGTCGGTATCTTCAGGAGGTGGTTGATCGAAAGTTGTTGGATGGACGACAGTAGGTGTTCGGTCGACAGGGTAAAAACTTGCTGTTTGATTTGTTGTTGGTGTCGAACCTGAAGCCAAGTATTGAGGGGATATTGGTCCCATCGAAATACTGGGAGGTGCTGAATATGAGGCTGAATACTGAGACACTCTTGGAGTAGATACAGATGCTACTGAATGGCGGGACGACGGCGATGACGAAGAATATTGGTAATGGTACGGTGTCTGGACTGCGGGATTCAATATAATTGATGCATTTTCAGTTAATTTCCCCAATTTGGCGTAAAAAATAACATCAGAAATTAATTTGTTAGCAATAGCTGATTGCTGTGGATCCACTGTACTTAACTGGAGTCCTAAGGATTTTCCGATTATTTCCCACTCTTGTTCCGTATCATCTAGTAATTTATTTGCCTTTTTCAGTACTTCTTCTTTAGCCTTGTCTAAGCTTTTTCTTTGCCTTTTAGTATTTGTCATTTTTGATGTTGATGGTATTTCCTCCTGAGTGGCTGCATTAGTTCCTGAAGCTTCTTGGTCGAGTGCATTTTCATTAGATAACTCAACAGGCACCTGAGGTGTTTCCTGAAAATAAAAATATAGTTAATATATTTTGTGTTTATATTTTATAATTTTTTTCATCATTGTTTATCACTGATTTTTTGTTCTAGATGCCAACAACAGAAGAAGAATGGAAACGTGTCGCCAACCAATTTGAAACCAAGTGGAATTTTAGTCATTGTTTAGGGGCTATGGACGGAAAACACATAGCAATACGGAAGCCACCACACAGCGGTTCTGCGTATTACAATTACAAAAGCTTTTTTAGTGTAGTACTGTTTGCTGTGGTCAATGCAAATTATGAATTTATGTATGTACACACTGGAACAAACGGAAGTATTTCAGATGGGGGTGTTATACAAAATACAAATTTCTTTAAAATGTTAACTAGAGGTTATCTAAACTTGCCACCTTCGTCTCCTTTACCAGATAGCAACAGTTCTGGCCCTTATGTATTTCTCGGCGACAGTGCATTTGCTATTAGTAGACACATTCTGAAACCATATCCGTTCAAAAACATAGATCATGAAAAGAGGATATTCAACTACAGGCTATCTCGTGCCAGAAGAGTTTCTGAAAACGCCTTCGGCATAATGGTATCTCGATTTAGGGTTTTACTACAAACTATTGCTACCAATGTTGACAATGTTGATCCCATAGTATTGGCTTGTTGTGCACTTCATAATTATTTGAGAAACAAATCATCTAGCTACATCACACAGACATTTGTAGATAAAGAAAATACAGAAAATTTGACATTTGACCTTGGTGCGTGGCGTGATATAGGCACTAATTTAGTTCCTCTCGCACAAATTAGCGATAGGCAAAGGAATGAAGAAGGTAAATATGTTCGAAACGTATTTAAAGAATATTTCAATGCAGAAGGCAGTGTTTCTTTTCAGGAAAATATGTTGAGAGTTGTGCCATTATAAGAAAAATAAATAAATAAATCATAGATTGATAGTATTTGTTATTATTTACCTGAGTAGAGTTTTCCAAAGTATCTTTTCCGTCACGGCTTGGTTGGGTATTTTCTGTTAAGAATCCCATCAGGTCGAAATACCACAATGATGGTATATAAATATCATCTAATCCTGACCCAGTTATTTTCGAATTTTTTATCTAAAAATTATAATACAAAACTAGTAAAATGCCTACTTTTTACAGACACAAAGTAATAAAAATCTATATTAACAACTTACTTTTTTTAGTTCCCTGTTATACGTTGTCCGCATATTTTCTAATTTCTTCTTGAATACATCTAAAGTTGCTGATTTGTCGAACACTTTATATTTATCTAGCAAAATATTGAAGCCTTCCTGTCTCATATCGCGATTCAGGTAGTTACTGTTTGTTTTGTCCCATAAAAAAGGCATATCTCGAAATGTGTCGATGATATCGGTCCATACTTCCTTTTCTTTTTCCAACATTATGTTTTTAAATTATTGTATTTCACTAATCCACTTTTTCTAGCCAAAAACAAGAAAAAATAATCAACGTGAAAGAACAAATAACCCGGCCGACCTATAACCTCATTTATTAAGATCAAATCGCCTCCAACTGTCCCACACACACAATAATTCGCAGGGTATTCGGGAGGGGAGCAGAGCGATTGGAATGACTGAGAACCCAACTAGCCGATATCGTGAAGTCGTTAAAAAATTGGAACGATTGCAATACACACGAGACAATCCGCAGGGTCCCTGCAAATTGTACCCTGCAAATTGCCTCGTGAGTAGGCCGCTTAAAGGAGATTAAAAGTAACCGCCTGGATCACTATCAGAAGTTACAACAACTCGTTCAACATTTTTGGTCTCGGTGGTCCCTTGAATACATCGCTCAATTGCAACAGCGAGTAAAATGGAGAACGATATCTCAGAACGTCAAAATCGGCACTATGGTTTTGATTAAAGAAGAGAACTTACCACCATCCAAATGGATTTTAGGCCGAATTATTCAAGTCCATCCAGGCAAAGACGGTATCAATCGTGTCGCAACTATCAAATGCGAAAATGGCACTTACAAGCGGCCGATTAATAAATTGTGCAGTCTGCCAATAGATGAACGCCATGATGAAGAAGTTTAATTTTATTTTATTTACCTGTGCCTATTTCTAAATTGATAATTTTCGTTATTGTAACTTAATAATTTTTTTTTTCTCATTTGCTATGGATTAATTGTTTGTATTTTTTTCAATTGTTAAAATCCCGCAACGATTTTAAGGCGGGAAGTATGTTAAGAATTTCAAATTGTATTCATTATCAAATTGGTTTGTTTTGTATAATGCCAAAGGAGGGCGTTGTCGCTGGTATTTGACGTATAAAATGTAAAGGAGTGTGTAAAATAAATAATACCGATGTGTATGTCTCAACGAAGAGAGTTTTCTTTTCTGCATCATCGAGAACCCCAATTGAATTTAATTCTCATGATGAAATAACCCAACATACGTAGATAATCGATTAGTGAATGTTTTTAAAATATGCTTGTAGTATTAATGTACATATTACTGTGTTTACAAATTAAATAATAAATCTACCATCAGGTGATGCTCCTAGAAATCCATTAATCAAATCAATCCATAAACCACATTTTTTGACCTTAAGGTTAGTTTTTGCTTCGAATAAGGCTATGGCCACGGCTCTTTGGAAATGCCGTATTCCAGAGATGGTGCAAATACACTACTTTTGGCCAAGCAAGTTTTCACGATTCCATGGCATGGAGTATGAGGCCTTCGGTTCATAACTCGACCAAACAGTGAGGCAGTCAAACTTTTTTCCCGCTCTCTTTCATATAAGACATTTCCAAATTGGCCAATGGTACCCAAAGCAATAGATGTCCGTTCTTCTGCGGTTACCTGAAGGTGTTCATTGATATTTAATTTTTCCTAATAGTTTTAAGGGTGTATGTCATCATACCTGTAGATCGTTCAGTAATTTTCCGCATTCGACAGATACGATTTCGCCGTCAACATCGGGTTCCTCAGAATGTATGCCATCCCTAGTAGCACGAAATATTTGCAAAATATTTTAAATTGAATATTTCAGAAATATATTAAAAAAGAGTTTTGTTTATATATTTTAAATAATTTGTTATATATAGATTAAATATATAATTTTATATTGAACATATATTCCTAGTAAATATTATTACAATATATTGTTACTACTCATATTAAATATTTTGTTATAATATTTACTCTATATATTTTTTTTCCACTGGATAAATATATATGTAATACTAGTAAAATATTACACAAAATATTAAGTAAATTTATATATACTTGTTTAACGATATTTACAAAGTAAATACTATTATATTTTATGGCACATTCTCGATTAATTTGATTAAAAATTAAATTATTCACAAATCTTCCACCTCAGAAACATCATTGGATTTGAAAATGCTGAAACAAAAGAGTAATTAATTAGTACCTATCCTCCATGGGAGGAAATATAAAACCAGCCAGGCCTTTCTTCATAAACTTCACAAAAAGCGAGTCGTTTTCATCATCTGTTTCTAACACAACTGCCACATAATGGTATTTTAGAAACTTTTTTCCTTTAATCTCTACAACTACGTGGTCGCCAACTTTTATTTGTCTTTCTTCAGGGTCGCTTCTAGTCTGAACTTCTGATTCTACGTCCTCAACTTCAGATTCTACGCTGTCAACTTCAGGTTCTGCATCCTGAACTTCAGATTCTATGGCCGGAACTTCATATTCTACGCTTGTTTTATTCTGGGCAATGGGGAGATCTGCCACTGAAACTGATGCTCCAGGTTCAACGTGCAACATTTTCTTTTTATTCCTTTGAACCCTTTCGCCGCGTTTATTTTGGGATTGCAAAAAGTCTAATAAGGAATTATCAATTTCTCGTGAAACTCTTTCTTTGTACCTTGCTGTGGGCATTTTCTTTAAAACTTCATCAGGACAAAGGGGGACAATTCCAGTCGCTCTAAATCCATTTTTTATATTCTTCTCCGACTTCAGTTCGATCGTCTTTATTAGCTTGGCCAAAAGACCTGGGAAAAACGATTTCTCCACACAGTTTGAGAGGGATATTTTAGTTTGACATCTTGCAAGATTGTCCGCCAAGCCTTTTTTAAGGGCCCAAAGAAACTGACATCCAAAGGCTGTGTTATGTGGGTCGAATTCGGAGGTAGAAAGACAAAACGGATGTTGTTCCTTTGACAGGCAAGCAACACATCAACATTAAGGTGAGAGGATAAATTATCCCCTATAACAACTTTGGGTCCTTTTAATCTTCTTGCCCAAGGAATCACAACTTTATTAAAATAATCAACAAATGTACCAGCGTCAAACCATCCACTTTTCGTTCTGTTATAAATTGTGTTGGGTGGACCTCCTTCTATCCAAGAACTGTACATTCGCTCGGCTTTGTACACTACATAACATGGCAAGAGTTCACCAGCTGCGGTTGCTGAGAACATAAGAGAAATGGCACTTTTAGTGGTGTTCATTCGTCGTTCGGGATATTTGGTTCCTCGGAAAAATATGCACTTCGTGGTTCCTAAAATATTAAGATTTAGATTAAAAAAACTTTAAGCTATAATAATGCTGACCTGGGTTATCGCTTAGGTTGGTCTCATCATAATTCAAAATATTTTGAGGAGGAACATCTTGCAGAGTCGTCTCTAAATTTTGAAAATAACTTTCAAACTCTTCTGAGGTTTTTTCAGCGCGGCATCTTTTAATATTCTGGCAGGTCCTTTTCGTTAGTTTGGTTTTGTTCCTCTTCAAGAACAAATATACCCAGTCTCTTCCTGGCAAATTTTCTTTAAAACAAGTCAGAGAGATCCCCTTTTGGTCCAGATAATTTCTAACCAGCATTCTTAGGTCTAGTTCTGTCATAGGACTCCCAAATTCTGCACTTGCTATTAGGACGTCCACTAAGCTTCTTTCTTCTGCTTGAGAAAGACTCTTTGGTCGACCAACATCGCCGGTGTGTATATGTTTCATTTTATTCAACAACGTCCTTCTCGGGATGTTGTACAGGGTTTCAGCCCTCCGACTGCTCATCCCCTCTTTCATTGCTTGCAAGGCCCTTTCTAATGCACTAGCTTCGTAGTCCATATATTTTCGCGCCCCTAGCCGTCTTTTATACTTTCCCATTGCTGAAATAATTATGTCGATGCTATAAGTTACGATCATTGACGTATAATTGTTTGAAAATAAATCTTAGGTTTCATCACAAAATTGCGGATAACATTGCCCACTTTTATTTTTTCAAATTTATAAAAAAATAATTTTTTAAATATTAATCTGTGGATATATTGAAGTAATTAATGGTCATATAAAACTACTGTCAATAGCTCAAAACTACAACCCAAATACGTATCCCGCACCAAACCTTACAATTTACGTAAAAAATAAGACAAAAAAGAGTAATATTTACCTGCGAACTATGTGTCACCACGCGCACTCGAGAAATGCATGTGAGCAGTTTTACACATGCTATCAACCTTGAACATGCATACCCCCACGCATTCACCATTGCCACAGTTGCCAAATGGATAATTTCGAATTTTTTAAATTGCCTAGCATGTGGGCAAAGTTTGGCTTAATGGGCAAAGTAAGGCGATTCTACGGTATACAAAGACTATATTTGATTTTTACCTTTCCTTCATTTTTATACGGCTTTTACTTTGTGCCAAATATAATGATACAGTCTTCTTGATTTCTTGCTCCGTTGCATTAGCATGTCTCTTTCTAGTAGCCTCTAAAATTTAATGATTACAGCTTACAAAAGTATAATAATGCTATTAAATTAAAATAGAATGATTTAATATCAAGATTTAAAAAAGTGGAAATTAACAGTATTTTGTCAAGAGAAATTCTCCCCCATTCAGAATTCCTCGATAAAGCTATGGTCTCGGCAATGGCTACGTCTTTATCACTTTCTACAGGTGCAGTGGAACCCTCGGTGGAACCTTTAAGTAGCTGCTTTTGAATGTAACGGTACTTTTTATTATGTCGAACGTGATGAGAATAAGACATGATCTTTAAACTATAATTTCACAATGTGGGCACATGAACAGAAATACGAACTTACCTTCTCCGATGTATAAGCACTCTTACTTTATAAACACACACACACACACACTTAAAACTCGGGCAGTATTTTGATATTTCACAATAGGATTAACTAAAATTTTGTATACGAATTTTAAACTTAACCGTTAAGATTACTCTATGATAACCTACAAAAAATAAACGCTGCAAAAATGAGGTTATGAGGATGGTTTGGCGCGGCAATGGGTAATTGTCTCACTGCTCGTGCGCCCCGTACACCGTAATTGGAAATATTTACTAAATAACCAATATATTACAAGATAAATATATTCTTGACAATATTTTATAAATAAATGAATATATTTATATTAGAAATAAAATACTTTTTTTAAACAAAACTGACGTGTATGGGCACACCCGCATAAGTTTAT